AACATATAACAAAGATTATTCATTATGACCAGATACGCTTTATTCCAGGGATGCAAGAGCGTTTCAACATACACAAGATCAAAAATATAATACACCATATTAACAAAAAGAAAGATAAAAACCACCATATGATCATCTCAGTTGATGTAGAGAAAGTATTTGACATAATACAACATCCTTTCATGAGTAATACTCTCAGTAAGATTGGTATAGAAGGGGTCATTTCTCCACACAATAAAAGCCATATATGAAAAACTTATAGCTAACATTATACTAAATTGTGAAAAGCTAAAAGCTTTTCCACTAAAAACTGGTACAGACAAGGCTGCCCCCTTTCTCCATGGCTTTTTTAATATAGTGCTGGAAGTCTTAGGTAATGCCATCAGGAAAGAGAACAATATAAAAGGCATTCAAATAGGCAAAGAAGAGTTAAAAATATTTTTATTCACAGATAACATGATGGTATACTTAGAAGACCCAAAGGTTTCCATGAAAAAACTTCTTGAAGTAATAAATGAATACAGTAAAGTGGCAGGATACAAAATCAACATCCAAAAATATATAGCATTTTTATATATGAACAGGTTGAATGAAGTAGAGTTGAAGAAAGGAATCCCTTTTAGCCACAAAAATGTATAAGAGGGACCAGCAGTTAGTGTAATGGCTATGTCGCTGGGCTCCCACATAGTCAACCGCGGTTCGCATCCCGGACCCAGTGGCTTAAAACTCACACCAGGTGCATGTGTGTGCGTGCCCAAGATCACGAGAAAACGGAGGAGAAGGGATTGCGGCGTGGCCATCCCCCTTGGGGGGTGATTTCTCGCTGTCTCTCTGTCTCTCTCTGTCTGCCTGGCGAGCACACGCGCACTATAGCAAAAACCTCTAAAAAATAAAGTATAAGATACCTAGAGATAAACCTAATGAAGGAAGTCAAAGACCTTTACAATGAAAATCTTTAAAAAGTTATTGAAAAGGACATAAAAAAAGTGGAAGGACATCCCATGTTCCTAGATTGGAAGAATTAACATAATTAAAATGGCAATTCTACACAAATTAATCTACATATTTAATGCAATTCCAATCAAAATACCAGAGATATTTTTCTCAGATCTAGAAAAGACAATCATAGAATTTGTCTGGAATCATAAAAGACCTCGTATTGCCAAAGTAATCCTGCACAAGAAGAGTGGAGTGAGTGGCATATCACTCACTGACCCCAAGATATACTATAAAGCTGTAATAATCAAAACAGCATGATATTGGCACAAAAACAGATAAGTGGACCAATAGAATAGAATATAGATCCCAGAAATAAACCCCAAAGCGTACAGCCAACTGATGTTTTTTCTTTTTTCTTTCCTTTTTTCTTTTTTCTTTTTTTTTTTTTTTTTTGAGAGGTCTTTGCTATAGGGTTGAGTATGCTCGCCAGAAAAACAGAGAGAGATAGAAAGACAGAAAGTGAGAGATCACGCCCCAAGGGGAATGGTCAGGCCGCAATCGATTCTCCTCCATTCTCTTCTTGGGATCTTGGACACGCTCGCACACACACACAGCGTGAGTTTAAGCCACCGGGTCTGGGACTCTAACCATGTCGACTACGTGGGAGTCCAGTGACATAGCCATTACACCAACTGCTGGTACCCAGCCAACTTATTTTTGACAAAGGATACCAGTCAATCCATTAGGAAAAGGAAAACCTCTTTAGTAAATGGTGCTGGAAAAACTGAATATCCACCTTCAAAAAGATGAAACTGAACCCCCATTTTTCACCATTAACAAAAGTCAACTCAAAATGGATCAAAGATCTGAACCTAAGACCTCAAACCATAAAACAACTGGTGGAAAATCCTGGGGAAACTTTGGGAGATATTGGGCTAGGCAAAAAAAAAAAAAAAAAGACTTCTTAAATTAGACTCTGAAAGCACAGGCAATAATCCCTAAAATAGATAGGCGGGACTATATCAGACTAATAAGTTTCTGCACAGCAAAGGACATAGTAACATGTGTGAATCCACAACCCTCAGAATGAGATAACATTTTTGTAAAATATGCCTCAGACAAGAGACTGATAACCATAATACACAGGGAACCCAAGTGGCTTACTTGGAAAAAAAAATTAACCCAATTAAAAAATTGGAAAATGAGCTGAACAGAAATCTCTCTAAGGAAGACATATGAAGAGCCAAAAAACATATAAAGAAATGTTCAATATCCCTCATCATAAGAGAGATACAGATTACAACCACAATGAGATACCACCTAACCCCTGTCAGAATAGCAAAGATTAAAAATATAAAAAGTGATAAGTGTTGGCAGGATGTGGTGAAAGGGAACTCTCCTATACTACTCTCCTATATCAGACAAAATAGACTTTAGGATAAAAAGTGTAATAAACACAAATAAAAAAAATAATTCACTTAGAACATACAACAATCATAAATAGAAAGACCAGTAAGTAAAGGGAAATACAGATTGTAACACACCAATTGTTGGGGATTTTATCAACTCATTGTCACTACTAGACAAGTCATCTAAACAAAATTAAAGAGACACTGGAGCTAACTGATATCATAAACCAAGTGGACATGGAGATATACATAGATTGGGACCAGCAGTTAGCATAATGGCTATGTCGTTGGACTCACACGTAGTCAACCGTGGTTAGAGTCCCGGACCTGGTGGCTTGAACTCACGCCGGGTGTGTGTGCGTGCATGCTCAAGATCCTGAGAGGAGAACAGAGGAGAAGGGATTGTGGCGTGGCCATCCCCCCTGGGGGTGATTTCTCGCTCTCTGTCTCTCTGTCTCTGTCTGGCGAGCGCACGCTCCCTATGGCAAAAACCTCTCCAAAAAAAAAAAAAAAGAGAGAGAGAGAGAGAGAGATACATAGAGTATTTTTTCCAGGAACTGCAAAATACACTTTTTCTCATCTCCACATGGAACAGCTATAAAGACTGACCACATAATGGGCCACAAAACATGCCTCTACAAATTAAAAAATATAAAAACTATATTCAACATCTCTTTGGACCACAACAGAATTAAACTTAAAATCAATCACAGAAAAAAGCCCTTAAAAATACACAGAAACATGGAAACTAAACAACATACTCCTGAATTATTTTCAACTACTGAAGAAATTAAGACTAAAATCAAAAGATCCATTGACACCAGTGATAGTGAACACACAACTGGGACCAGCAGTTAGCGTAATGACTGTGTCGCTGAACTTCCATGTAGTCGACTGCGGTTAAAGTCCCAGACCCGGTGGCTTAAACCTCACGCCGGGCGCGTGTGCGTGCATACCCAAGATCCCGAGAGGAGAATGGAGGAGAAGGGATTGCGGCGTGGCCATTCCCCCTGGGGGGTGATTTCTCACTTTCTGTCTCGAGGCGCCACGCCCCATAGAAAAACCCTCTACAAAAAAAAAAAAAAAAAAAAGATTCAACTCAAAATAAATCAAAGATTTAAATGTAAAACTTTAAACTATAAAAGTTCTGGTAGAAAACTTAGGGGGAAATTCCTGAAGACATTGGAGTAGGCAGAGATTTCTTAAGCAAGATCCCCAGGCACAAGCAATAACTCGAAAATAGACAACTGGGATTACATAAAGATAAAACACTTTTTACATCAATAGAAACAACAATTAGATTGAAAAGACAACCCTCAGAATGGGAGAAAATATTTGCACACTATTCCTCAGCCAAGAGATTGAAACTAGAATATATAGGGAACTCAAGCAGCTCATCCATAAAAAAAAAAGAAAATACATAATCCAGTTAAAAAACAGGCACATGAGCTGAATAGACAATTCTCCAAAGATTTACAAATATCCATAAGGCATATGAAAAAAAACGTTCAAAATCTCTTGTCAGGGACATGTAAGTTAAAACCACAATGAGATATTATTTAATCCCAGTTAGAATGGGATTAAATTAAAAAATAACAAGTGCTGGTAAGGCTGTGGTGGAAAGGGAAACCTCAGGACCCACAGGTGGTGAGGCGGTTAAGGCACTGGACTAGTGCATAGCCAACTGAAGTTCATGTCCCAGATCTGGTAGCTTGCTTTCTCACTTTCTCTCTCTCTCTCTCTCTCTCTCTTCAAATTTAAAATAATGATGACATGCTTTTGGGTAATTAAAAAAAATAAGACTCTTTTTTTCTCTCTCTCTGTGTGTGTGTGTGTGTGTGTGTGTGTCTTCTAGTGTACCTGCCCTGTAGCAAATTTTAAAATAATGATACATAAAATTAAATAAATAATTCCCTTTAAAAAAAAAAAGATAAGAGAAACTTCTTATATTGTTGGTGGGAAAGTAATTATTACAACCTCTGTGGAAAATAGTATGGAGGTTCTTATAATATCTACAAATAAAACTACCATATGACCCAGTAATCCACTCCTGGGTATCTACCCAAAGGACAGGAAAACCCTCAGCTTAAAAAACACTTGCACATTCATGTTTATTGCAGCATTATTCACAATTCCTAGGACAGGAATAAAACTAAGTGTCCCAAAACTGGTGAGTGGGTCAAAAAACTGTGGCACATATATGCTATGGAATATTACTCAGCCATAAGAAACAATGAGACCCTATCATTTGATTCAAAGTGAATGAAGATAGAGGACTTAATGTTGAGCAAAGGGAGTCAGACTTTGAAAAAGATATGCTGTATATCATCATATAATATATACTGAATGTCTGCATTTTAAGGCATAAATTGAAGTTCCACAGATATGATAGTAGAGAAAATAAGCGTAGATACTAGAGATTATAAGGGAGGGTCTTGGGTAGAGAGTGGGAGATAGACAGTGGGCAGCAGGGGCAAAAGGAGTAAACATTTAACAGACCAAAGAATAAAGTTCTCTGTTGGGGAAAAAATTCTATAATTTTTGCTTTATTAAAAAGAAAGGGTGAAAGAAAGAAGAAAGAAAGGAAGAAAGAAAATTAACCAAAAATCATATGAAGACATGCTAAATGACTCTTATCAAAAGGAAGATGCAAGCTTTGTGCACTGGCAGTATCGTAGCCAATGAGGTTTATCCAAGGCGCAATTATTGCTAATTGAAAAGGAAGATGCAAACCAAAATCACAATGAGGTATCACCTAATGCTAGTAAGAATAGTTATTGTTTATAATAATAATAATAATAATAATAATAATAATAATAATAGTAAAAGAATAACAAACGCTGGCAAGGGTGCAAAGAAAAGGAAACCCTGGTGCAGTGCTGGTAGGAATATAAATTACTACAGTCACTGGGAAAACAAAATGAAGGCTTGTCAAAATCTAAAAATAGAACTACCATATGACCTAGTAATCCCACTCCTGGATATTTGCCCTAAGGACAGGAAATCACTTTGTTGGAGAGACACTTGCACATCCACGTTTATTGCAGCATTATTCACTACAGCTAAGATGTGGAATCAACCTAAGTGCTCAACAACTGATGAATGGATTAAGAAAATTTGGCACATATACGCATAATGAAAAACAACATTCTGTCAATAGACAAATATAGAAAATATAATGATAATAGAAATAAGCCAGGCTATAAAAACAGAATACTGTATGTCTCTGTTTAACATATACCAAACATCTGCACATTACAGTGGAAACTGAAAGGCAAGATGGCATAGAAGTAGAGAGTGTAATGATAAATACTAGAGACTTCATTGCAGGGTAGGAGTACAGGACGAATTAGTAGACCTAGCAATGCCTGAGATTCAAGCCTCATCACACCCCATTGAGAGGTGCTTTCTCCTTCTCTCTCTGGTGAGCGCACATGCACTCTGACAATTAAGAAAAAAAAATAGGGACAAGCAATTGGCATAATGGCTATGTCACTGGATTCCCATGTAGTCAACAGCAGTCTGAGTCTTGGACCCGGTGGCTTAAACTCACACTGGGCGTGTGTGCGTGCATGCCCAAGATCCTGAGAGGAGAATGGAGGAGAAGGGATTACAGCATGGCAATGCCCCCGGGGGGTGATTTCTGGCTTTCTGTCTCTCTGTCTCTCTGTGTCTTTCTGACGAGTGCACGCGCCCTATAGCAAAAACCTCCCCTCCCACACACACACACACACAAACTAGAAGGCATGTAAACAAGATGAATAGGTTATGAAATTATGTACCACAACAGAGTAAGAAAGGCCATTGTAAATCTAATATATATAATCCAAATAAAACCTAGTAAAGAAGGGTCCAGCAGGTAACATGACGGCTAATGTAGCTGAATTCCCACGTGACTGACCTCAGTTTAAGTCCTGGACCTTGTGGCTTAAAAATAAACAATACACATTGGGCCAGCAGGTGGTATGGTGTTTGAGGGTGGTAGACTCCCACATGGCTGCGTACTGTTCAGGTCCTGGATCTAGTGTGTTGCTTTCTCTCTCTCTCTCTCTCTCTCTCTCTCTCTCTCTCTCTCACACTATGTCCTTTTATGATCAAATTAAAATATATAAATAAATAATAAAGTATCCTTTAAAACAAACAGGCAAAGCACATGTGCATGTGTTTCCAAAATACCAAGAGGATTTTGTGGTTGGAGAAGTGTGGCCATTCCTTCAGGGGGTGATTTCTCACTTTCTCTCTCTCAGACTCTGTCTCTCTCCTCTCTAGCAGGCACACATGCCCTGACAAAAACCTTTTATAAAAAAGTAAAGCAAATATCAGATATGCACAACATAATGTAATGTTCAAAGCTGAAGATGATGGGGCCAGTGAGTGGCATAGTGGTTAAGACACTGGACTCCTACATGGGCAACCACAGTTCAAGTCCTGGATCTAGCAGCATGAAACTCATGCTGGGTGAATGTGCATGCATGAAATTCCAAGAAAGAATGCAGGAGAAGGAATTGTGTGGCCATCCCTCCTGGCAGGTGATTTCTCAGTTTCTCTCTCTGTGTCTTTCTCTGTCTCTCTGGGGAGCACACATACCCTATCGCAAAAGTCTCTCTCTAAAACAAAGAAAGTTGAAGACAATACATAATGTTTATATTCTTGTTTTAATGATAACACACCGTATGCATGCTTTGAGAACCACACAAATATATGCAACTCTATGTAAATCAAATTATGATACACTTAAAAAACTAATAATAATAAAAACAATGGCTTATTCCTTAAAAAGTAAGAAAAAAGAAAACATTTTTTTTTCACCCAAAGGGGATGTGCACTCAACAGAGAGAGACAGAGAGAGAAGGGAAAATACCTCCCCATGGGGAATAGTCACACAGCAATCACTTTTCCTGTTTCTTCCACTTTCAGAATTTGGGCACACATGTCCAGCACATTTCTCGAACCTCCAGGTCTGAGAATTGAACTACACAGCCATATGGGATCCACCATATGGCCACAGAGCCAGCCTGAAGGTGACATTTTTGAATAGAAACTTCATAACCGGAATTACAGGTTGAGGTCACATAAACGAAGAAAAAGTAAAGGATAATGGCTATATTACGATACAGATTAATAGGTCATAGAATATTAAAATACTTAAATAGTTTGGCATTCTCCTATGAATCACAGTAGAGCTCAGATGAACATTAGAGCCCGTTCAACACAATTATAAATAGGGAAACAGAGGTCTATGAAAGTTAAATGTCTCATCCAAAACGATAGGGCTACTATGTAGTACTCAAAGCCTCCCGTGTGGACTCTTAGCGAGTGTTTATCCAATGATGTACTTAGAAGCCAGAAGTGCAATGGTCTTTTACCGTTGTCACAAATATAGCAACGAGACAATGATGGATTATACTCTGCAGCTCGTAAGGCATCCTGGGGTGGGGGAAGGGAACGCAGACTTGCAGGGCATGGGGAAGAGTGGAGTGAACAAGAGTGTGCGCATTTTCTAACACACTGGAAGTTACATTTAACTTGAAGACTTCTGATTTGACTCCATTTCATCAGGCCTGTGTTTTTTTTTTCTGGTTTGATGAACTACATCCTTTTACACATCCTCAGTTCTACCTTTCCTTTTTGCCTGTTTTGCAGTCTAGGTGGCATCACCCTCCTCCACACCTCCCCCACACTGCTGCTTCTGATCCATATGAACACTAACCCTCAGGGCTCCTCTCCCTCTGTGGGGGATGGAGAGACATAGTGTTCCTGTATCCTGGCCAGATTTCTCCAAGGAGAAACCCCGAAGTAGGGCAGGGCCCTTAACTGCACGGTCCTCTCTTTGTCAAACTGAAGAACTCTCAATGGGGAAGGTTGGAAGGATTATTTTGGGGGGGAGGGGCATAGTGGTGGTTCAGGGCTCCAGCTGAGTCTGAACCCACTGCTTTGATTTACAAATCACTCTGAAAGATTTTGTTCTTTCCATCTTTATGGCCAGATGTTTTTGTTTCATTTATTTTTATTCATGATAGAGTGCATGCTTATGCTCATGAGAGAGAAAGAGAGGAGCCCCTCTGCGGGGTCTAGTCACATCCTGATCCCCTTCCTCAGTCATTTTACCCTTTGGATCTTGAACACTGTCAGATGTGCCTGTTGTGTCTCAGGCTGACCTAGCCAGTGGTTCAATCCACAGTCACCATGTAAGCTCCAACTCTAAGCAGTATTACCACTACACTGCAGAGCTGCCAACACTCTGATTTCTGTTTGTACTCTCCTGAGGCTCTCTGTTGTCTCTTGCATCCTATGGGTGAGATGGGTCTATAGACACCAGACTTGTTACTAATGACTAGGACCAGAGGGGGAAGGATGGTACAGGTAGTGCAGACCAGTACCAAGGACCAAGAACCAACCTCTTCCCTCTGCACCCTCCTGTGCACACATGCCAGCCTCTTAGGAAGGGAGACCTAGGAGAGAGGCTGGACTTTTTCATAATCCAAGGCCCAAAAGTTAAGATACTGGCTGTTACTCTAAAGTTATCTCACAAGGGCTAACTCCTTAGTGCAGTGGTTAGGTGCTGTACAAAGGAAGCCAGACTCCACGTAGCTGACTAGGTTTTGAGTTTGGCCCTTTGGGCTTGAAAAACACACCCGTGTAACATACACTTGGGATCTTGAAGGGATAGAGAATTGGAGGGTAAAGGATTGTAGGTCCAGGACCCATTGGGAGGTTCTCTCTCACGCACGTGCATACATATACCCTCTGGCAAAAAAAAATGAGTAACTTAACTCATTTATCTGGTAACTTATTAAGTTGTCCCACTGCTTGGGAATACTTAAACACCTTGTGGGGGGCCACCTCTTCTAAATGTGCTTTCAATTCCCTCTACTCTATCCTCCCAGTCTGACCTCTTTGAGCAACTAATTCCACTTCCTGATTGCTCTAAAGTAAATTGCTAGTTAGTATTAATGTGAATAAAAAAAATTTCAGCCAAAAGTTGAACTCCTTAAAATTTTTGCATTCAAAAGTGATATGAGGATGAATTCAAAATACATGTATCTGCTCACTAATGCTTTTTTTAAAGTTTATTTATGTATTTCTTCCATGAACAAGAAAGAAATAGACAGGTAGGCACTCCCACAGGGTCTTAAAACTGTGATCTACCCCTAGCCTCAGCCAGCCCCAGGTTGTGGGTATACTTATCCTCAGTATACAAGGAGGTCTCAGGACTTGAACCTGAAACCTCAGGTAGGTCAGCCTGGCAGAGCATTGTATTTTGCTATGCCACTGTCCAGTCCCTCTAATGGTTATTTTTACGTGGAATAAATGACAATGACCATTTTTGCTAGAAGCTGTATTTGATTAGTTCTTACTAAGTTTAGAAATAAAAAGTATTAATTAGCTCATTCAATGTGCACAATGAAAAGTAGTTCAGAAATGGGTTAATCATATTGAAATAATTTTAACCTAATTCTTTAAAAAGTAACAACTAAATAACTATATTATTTCCAAACATTCTTTATTTGTTTTTCACAGCAATATCACTAAACAAGTATTTTTACTCTTGCTCACATTTTCTATCTCATGAAACTGTGTGTTCTGTGAAAGGAAAAATTTGTTTGCAAGGAAATGTTTGCAAGGCTACACTGGGACCCTAGGCTCAGAGAATTCAATACATAGTTAGGGAAACCAGTACCTAAAACCAGGATCTAAAAGCTTGTAATTCAGTAAAATGTTAAAAATACTTACCAGCTATAAATACTGTGCAGAATAATGAATAATAAGCCTCATATTTTAATAAATGTCATCATTTCA